TATTTTAAATTCTTAAATTGAATAACTTATTACAACATCTTTGAATAATGCTATATTTACCCACCTTACACTGTTTTTCATCCCATACATTTTGAATGTTCTCTTCTAACTGATCTAGAACACATCTGAGGTCTGGGACTTAAGAGTAACTACCTATTTACTATTGTAGCATTTTGACACCTTTGTCACAGTAAGACACATCAGCAGATTCTTCATAGAAATAGTCAACACCACTGGACAAAAGAAGGTACAAAGAAAAGATGTAAAGAGAACCAATAAACACATAGAAAGGCAAAAGATGCATAGGCAAATACTCCTTAACTTATTGTGACAAGTGTTGCACTTTTAATATGCAGTGTTGCACTATTCTGATCACTGGTCTCTAGGCACCTTGTTTCTCTCCTCTTTGTTTCAGATTACATAGTCCCAGTTTTGAAGCCTAATCTGCCTAGAGCATGGACCACAGCTATCTATTCATATGACACTGTAGTGAAACCGAAATGAAACTCCAGCTTGGGGTATTTCTCCCTCAGAGAATGAAAGGAAAGAAGATTGTTCAGAGGTCTCTTTTACCAAGAGGCTCATTTGAAATAAGGTGCTGGACTGAGTCACTAGTAATATTAAAAATTTCCTCCAGAAGTGGCCCTACCTCAGATTTCATTCCTGTAACTGAAGTCAAATTTTCTATTCATAGCTTGCAGCAGAATATCTTACAAGGGTTGGTTTTGCAACAGAGTGAAAGAAGCTTTTTACTTGCCACTTCCAATGTAACCAACAGATTCTGTTTTCACTTTAGAAAGCAGGAAGCTTAGCACTCTGAGAACAGAGCCCCACACCCTTCGGATGTCATGTCCAACTGGAGGGCTCAACACCAGCCTTGTGAAAATTGATACGGCAAGTCTACCTATGCACACTAGATATGACTACAGTTTGTCAATTCAAAGTCTATACAATGTTTATATGAATATGCACATGGGTTTAGAAAATCTAAATCCAAAGCCAGGTCTAAGTCACTGGACACACAGCTAATGCACAAATGATGATGAAGTGGCAAAATTTGCTTTTGCACATTTGTATACCTAAAGTGAGCAAAACTATGCTTAAACATTTAATGCGGTGAAAATTGATAGAGTTGATAGTTAAATTTTTGTAAAAAAATTAAGAAAAGCTCTTCTCAAAACAAGTTTTTAAGAACTTTTTTTTTTCTTTTAGCTTTGACTGTAATAAGCAAGTGCTGCAGGATTTGCAGGGTGACTTGGTGGATGCCTGGATTTCATGGTGTTTGCAAAATGTCTAGGTTAAGACAACACACACATCAAAAATCCAGAGAGACATAACATAGAGCAGCTGCAGCCTAGGTCACAAGCAAGTAGAACCTCTGTCAAGCTCTGCACATAGGGTTAGCTCCCCCCAGGAATTGTGTGGCAAACCCTTCCAGCCAGGAATGGGAAATGTTCTGACTAGAGACTTCACTGCCAGCTTCTCCACCATCACTGTAAAGGAGATGAAGACTGACAGTGCAAACTAGTTGAGATCCAGACAGATCTGGTAATCTTATGAGAGTAGGTTCAATTCACTAGAGTATTTGCTTAGATACTTACTCAGAATAGCATTTAAATACTTGTTTAAGTACTCCTTGTCAATTGATTTTTAAACAGGAAAATTTAAAAATACTCCCAAGTATTATTCAGAGAATTATTGAACCTAAATAAAAACAGAAAGGTCAATCATGTAGTGAAATGCTATGATGACTCACTACAGAACCAATGTGTATTTTTTATACATAGCCTGCATCATATTGAAATCCTTACATTTATTTCCATCTGTTTTCTCACACTGATCACTTTTCAACATAAATGGCAATATTTGAAAATGTTCATTGAAAATGAAAAATTCTCAAGTCAGATTTGAGAATTTAATGAGAATTAAAAAAGGAAAGACTTAAGGATAAGGGAAATGCAAGCCTAAATTATTGCAACTTGTGCTTTTAAATTTCTTTATCATTCAAGGCCAACTTATAAAGTTGAACATGTGAAAGTTCACATATAAGCAACAGTGACATATTTTCAGGCAAACGTGAAGACACATTTGACCATCTATTTAAACAAACTGTCAACAACTTGTTTGCAAAGCTTCTGAGAGAAAAATCTAGACTCCGTTAAAATTGATATGAATTTGACAGGAGGTGAGGATTTCAAACATCTCCTCTGCATCAGAAGACATTTTACCATTAATCAAATCAATGCCATCAAAAGAGGTAAAACTACCTATTGTGCATCCTGTCATATCAGCCCAGCATTTATATTCATCTAATTCCCCTGGGGAAACAAAACAAGTTCTTTAAGTGTAAAATTCTTCTAACAAATAATATACTATACTGGTAAATCTCATACCATATCTAAGTGTAGAGCAGGGAATATACAAAGGTCTCTTCATACTCTTCTCACTCAAGTATGATTTGTTATCAAGAGCATATTGAAACACATACCAATATTTTTACATGTAATACATTTTCAAATGTCACCAATTATTGAAGACTTGTCTACATGTCAACTTAAGGAATGGCCATGGAAGAATAAGTTTCCTGAACAAGAAGGGCATATCTGTAACTGCAAAGCTAACAAAGCCTTTCCGATTACAACAGTAGTAGGCACCACTGAAAGTATTATTTAAATATGTAATATATATCTCTTTCATTAATACAGAATCATAAAGGTAAAAAAAGGTTAAGCAAGCAAAGAGTTACTATCAGGGTGACCACATTTACTAACTAACATTAACTCATTAAGTGCCTGAATGAACTGTTCACAATAGGCAAATATCTGCAAAGCACCATAAAATTATGAATGATATGTTGTCTTTACATTTCATAGTGTGCTGATCTGCAATACAGAAAACACTTTTACCTTTTGGATATACATTAGTTCATAAGTGAAAGAATACTTAAAACCATTTTTTCTTCATGCCCAAAAACATAGGAAATTTTTCTACCATTTTTCTCAGGAAGAGCAATAGGAAATCACTGCCATCCTTTCAAATTCAGTATTATCAAATGGTGATGGTAAAACCTAAAAACTATCTAAAACATCGGGACTGGCTGCTCTTGACTCTGATTGAATGGATAAAAGGATCCAGTGAGACAGCAAGGCAGAAAACAAGTAAAGCAGAGGGAAAGCAACAACAACAACAAAACCCCAGTTTGACTAAAATCAGAGTGCTGCCATTAAAACAAAACACCTCGTTCCACAGTCCCCAAGAGAATTCATTTGCATGAAGAGCAGATTTTGGTTCAAAGTACTTTTTATATTCAGCAATGACATTTAAAGGGTAAATTCTAGGACACTACAGTTCTGTGCAGAATTACTCAATTGTCATAGCTTTCTTGTGTTGCAATTATTTACTGGGTCCAAATCATGAAGAAAAAATTCATGTCCAATTTTCAAACCTGTATCTTGCCACCTGTGCCCAACAAAAGCATGGACATATTTTCTTAGCTATTTAAACTTCTTTACATACAGAAGTTCTGAACAAAACTGTACCCGTGAATTCACTCACACTGAAGTACCAGTCTGCACTACCCTAAACCTTATTTTCTTGGAGTGTTTACAACTGTTTCCATATTTCATTAAGAAGAATTAGTAAGCCTCCATTGCACACCATGGGCATGTTTGCCAAAACAAGAAAACAAGAGTACCAGAAGATTAATGGCAAAACAGCACATTGGATGTTGTACTGGCATCCAAAAGTGTCTGTTTGGGTAGATGTATAGACTGCACCAGCAAGATGAATTTAAGTTCAACACCAACAAATGCTGAAAGAATCAACTTGAATTCTCCTCACGCACCCAGAAATGTACAATTCTAATTTGTTCTTGTACGTAAATATTCCTTCAAGTACAGAAAGCAAAAAAAAGTCTTTCCTGATTCTGTACCTAATAAGGATGATGAAACAAAGAAACTAGTGTGCCCTTACTTATTAACAAGAAGAAAATCATAATGTGGTTTCAAAGCGGCATATAACAACCACAAGCCCATGTAAAGGGAAGTCTACTTGGGGAATCAAAGAAAGGATTTATAAATCAGATTATTTAATCTTAAGGATAATACAGCTGTCACTGCATTCATGAACATCCCTGCTCATCTAGAGACCCATCCACTCTCATTTCATGTTCACGTCCCCCTTTCTAACTGCGTCGATTAATTAGTGCTAACCTACCTATATGTTATCTTCTTCCTGGACTTCTAGGCAAGGAGCCAAAGGCCAGACACAGCCCTATGACAGCAGGGAAACAATTTTGACCTAATTTAGGATTTGGTTCTGTAGAGAGTATTCCAGAAGTACTGTAATGATTTTTCCATGGTAGTACCAGCAAAGCTGACGACCATCAGAATATCCATCTCACTTGTGCTAGTATTTGATGAAAAATTTAAGGTTCAAAATATTATGACAAAACTTTTCTCACTCATTAGTAATCAACAAGCTGTATTATTGTTCTCTGGTACTATTTTGTGCCTGGTTTAAAACTAAACCCCATGTGGATAAACAGTTTGCGTTTACTTTAAAAAATTATATGCAAACACAGAATATATGCAATTAAAATGTAGCCCTTTAACAGTAGTACTCTAGCAGTGACCATCATCACCATAAATGGTCTGGAATAGATATAACCACTGCACTGTTTCCTTGACACATGTAGTGAATTCATAAGTCAGATATTCTGAAGGATTTCTTTCTTTCATTATGTAACCCACAAATATGACATGAACTTTGCATCTAAAATTCTAATTTAACGAAAAAGCTTTTCCTCAAATTCATACACTTCTTTGGATAAAGGGCCATCAATTATCAAGCCTACAGAAATTGGTTATGATAGTCATTTCATGCTTGACTAGCTACGTGCTGGAGCTTCAAGGTAATTTTACTATTTCATACCGAAAGCATCATCAACTAACTGATGCCTGAAAATTCAAAATAACTTTAAGTATTAAAAATCACTTTTTGTAAAACAGTTCTATTCTAGAACAAGTATTTCTGGTATTGAAGGGCAAAACTGCACTTTCATTGACATCCCAGTGCTTGCACATTGTCTTCTGTGCCTTTTGGCTGCCTTTCCCCCTCCAGCTGCAAAGCCCACTTGGCAGTGTTTTATTGGGTTAAGGTACTTGAAAGTAAAAGAAACCTACATTAGAGCTATCAAGTCCTGGAAAAGGTGGATCTTAAGGTGTTTTTAATCCATTCAGAAGGGTGATTTTAATCCATTCAGAGTAGTTATACTCTTTATCAAAGAAACCTAACTATAATTTGGCATCAATGTTTACAGTTCTGTAGTGTACTGTAATAGTTTGAGATACTTTAAGAAAACCCTCCAAATACTGAGATGCTTATTGCAATTCCCTTTTAAAGATTGAAAAGTCTTCTGGTGACCTTGCATTTCCTGTTCTTATCTTCCTCATAGCATATAGTGTTAAATATTTGCAAGATGCTTTCCACATAAAATCGAACTTGAAAATACCCACTTACAAACAATATTTCAGTAAATAGAGGGTTTAAGGCAAGTCATTCATTTGGAAAAATTAATTTCCATTTGTTAATCCTAGATTGACACAATTTTATTCTACCCCATCAGTGCCTTGGGATACACAACGTACATTCAACAAAGGGCACACACATGACCCTATGGACATACGTTGCAAGTCCTGAGTGCCCATTGAAATAATGGTAATATCTTCATATAAGGCGTGACCCACAGGGACATGGCATGGGAGGGGTTACTTTGTTTTGTTTCCAGTCTTGCTATTGTGTGTGATTTTCCTAGGTAATGCATTCTTTTCTTACTAAACATCTTTGCAAACAAATACAAACCCCTTTAAAAGGTGCTAAAAATGGGTTTCTGAAAACATACAAAATATATTCATCATAGTATTTCCTCAATCACTGTTTTAGTGTTTGATATCTGCAGGTTATTTCTTGCTTCTGACTGAAACTATTATTTGTTGTGGAATAACTGTTCTTTTGCAAAAGATGTTCTTCTTCTAGTTTTTTGGACCACACGGGCTGGACACTTTCATGCTTTTTACTTCCTTTCTGAGTTCTTTTCAATGGAAATACCAACAACACCAGGATGCTGGCAATATGAAGACAGAAATAGCAGGAGCTGAAAAACATGCAGAAATAGTAATTCAGTAAAACTCTGACCACTCTTACAGAATACTTAAGGAATAAACTGTCAAAACCTACTTGACTACTTTGCACGTAAAATAAGAAGACATTAATATTTCCTTTAACAAATGTAACGATAGGGATAAAAGTAAAAAAGGAAAATCAGAAATTAAGTCTTCCCTTATAGTATTTAGTGCTGTAGCAAGAGTGAATGGAAGTCTGCTTTCAACCTTTTTTCACAAGTTACTTCTGGAAAGTTAGTATCTAGTCTTGCTATAAAAACAGCTCAAGAGCATACCGTAACCTCAAAGCTACCCTCTGGGTTTGGTTTTGGTTGGGTTTTTCTCCCTGCCCCAGGAAGAATAAAGTCTATTATGACAGGGAAGTGAGAGCACTCTATGGGTTTTCATACACAATGTTTGAGCACTAGAACAGAAATACAATTTGCTCAGCTAACAAATCGGTCTTGTAATGATCACTAAAATAGCTTCAGAAATCTTACACTATGGAAAATGCTTCTATTCCAATTTTTTTAAAAAAAGGAAAGGAAACAGAATGGGCTTACCTGTAAAAGGTGAATGAGGGTTTTACAGAGAGCAGTACAAATGGCACGACCGTGTAACTTATTGCTACTTGAGTTGCCATCCACGTTACAATATCATAACATAGTTTAACTGCAGGTGATTCGACAAAATAGTGTCGGATATTGTTTCTTATCTGAAAAGCAGGGAATAGTAAATTAGCTTAGGAATAAGAGAGCTCAGAGTTTGCTGCATGACACAAAATTCATAGGATGAATTGAAACGCTACAGTTTGGTCAAATATCTTTGAACTATTAAAAATGCCCATCAAGTTCAACAGGAGTTGAATTCCCTGCACTTCATCTACCATGGGAATTTATGCATTTTTCAATTTAAACAGCATTTAAGTGAATGAATCCTCAACAGCATTTAAGTGAATGAATCCTCCCCTAAATCCAATGCAACTTTGAAATGCTTGTCTGAAGGAGGCAGATGTTCTATTCTACCAAGCCATCCTGCAAATGTAAAGGGTTAGAGTAAATGACAGCAGAATGCTTCTGATGAAAGCCATTTCCATAGACTTGTTAATAAGATATATTTTAGGACAAGCAGAGTATAAATCACAATATACAAAATATCAGTTCTAATTACATATTTCAGGAGTCTTAATAGCAACTACTATTAAATGGGATTGTTATAAAATAACTCCATTTTCGACACTGTCTTCTTTTGTTTGTGAAATTCTGTTCAACCAATGGAATAACCAGAGGTATTAAAAAAATAAATTCGGAACCCTCACAGGTTTGGATCCAGTTTTATTTAAGTCTATAATTAAAAGACATCAGAAGATCTCTGACCCTCCTTCCTTTGAACTGTCATCCGTGCTCATACTCTTATTTACTGACAAGCGAAGATGGACTCAATTCAGCCTTTGTGCAGCTTGGTATCACACCTGCCACCTTCCAGTCACCTGCACTGAGGCAGAGCTCTCTGAAAAGCTGCACACCAAAGTACATGGTTTAAGCTTCTTCAACCTTCAGTTTCTTTGGAACACCGGTTACTAAAAACATATCCAAGACTAGCTCCTCCTGATTTAATTCTTAAAACCTTTTTTTTACCCTTCTGTTCCTTCTTATCCAAATTGCCCTGTAGATACTGCATTCCCAGTCAGCCTTTGCTTAGGTAAGCTAAGTAGAACAAGTACTTCTAGCCACATACCCTTCATCCTGCCATCATAGGTTTTCTCCTATGGTCACAGGCAATGACTTGTTCTGTAGAACTCAGATGAAGCTGGACAGATTTTCTTGTAGAGGAATCTTGTATTTTAGGACTTGAAGGACAACTTTAAAGACAAGTCTACAATTGCCCCTAATAAACATGTAATTATGAAACATGTAATGACTAAAAGAGGTAAAACAAGTTGACAGAACAAAGTGTGGACCAGAGCCAACCTGCCAAACTTGGTAATTAAAGGCTGGTAGAGTTACATTGGAGGTGCTTCAGCATATTTATTATACATCTTAGCAGCTAATATTAAGTACCTGTTAATACAGAAACTCCAGATATTTTTATTTACTAGCCTATTGATTGCTACATATGGAATGTCAACACAACACAGCTTACTAGTGAAGCCCAGGATGAAGTGCAGTGTGCACTCCCATTTACTGGACTCATCAGAGTAAACTTCTACCTGTGAACTGTCCCAGAACCTTGGCTTTTGCACCAGCCCCTGGCTGATAAATGTCAAGAGTTCCCTGTGATAGAGTCTGGAAGGAAAAGAGCTATACCTATCAAAAAGAAAGGACTATACCCACATCTTGGGAAGAAAGAGGAGAATCTGTTTTATTGCTGTAGTTAACAACCTCAACCTGAAGTACCACCTTCCTCTCCCTATTATAGCAACAAAGAGCAGTCTGCTTCATTTCTCATTTTCCTGGTTCTTTCAGCCAAAGTGGTGTTATGCTGCTCTAATCTCACATGTAATTTGTTCCTCTTTCCCACTGAGTAACTGATAAACCTGTCTCTGTTCTTAGCAGCCTTCTCAAGCAGAACTGTGAGAGGTTTCTTGGCAGATCTGCTAGTTCCATATGGTTCTGAATAGCAGCTGCAAAAGCTTGTTAACATGAATGCACTGCTGGCTGGCCAACTTGAAATAGTAACTGAACTAGAGATTTTTTTATCTCTTGCTTGAGGGGCAGCATTCTTTAGTCATCATCTTTACAATAGTGCTGGACATAAATTAGGGAGGGGTTGGACATTGACACCCGAATTTTAAGCTGCTCATCATCAGTGTTTTTTGCAAAGTGATCTTAGATAACACCAATCTGTTCAGCATGCCACAGTAATACACAATCAGTTAATACAGAGAAAGAGCTTCCACAAAAGATACTCTACAAATATGTTATAGGCTGTGTGCAATCTTGTTTGTTTCCATCAGTCAGCCCCTCCTTAGAGCTAATCATTTCCATTGCATGTAAATGCCACTATCAGACAGATTGTGTATGAAGCGTAAAGGGTATCTCTGGAATACAGAACATGACCAATTTTCTTTTACAAAACTTATTATTTAAGAAGAGACTTGGTACTTACAGCTCGTGCTGCTAGTGTCATTAGTACTCCTGTTAAAAACGTTAAATAATATCCTGGGTAAACCCCATGCCAGATGGCAGAAAGGATGAAGGTTTGGATCGTTGGGCTGAAGGTGGCTCGCTCATAGCACACTCTAGTAAGTCAAAAACAAGTCAAGATAAATAACACGAAACAAATCACCAACAGTCTTCTCAGTTATCATTTATACTTTTACCAGTTTCATGTCCAACACAAAAGTTTCAATGCAACTGCAGTTTTCTATTATTTAGTAATATCACCACTCTCTTATGACTTACAGAAAATGCTTAAATGCTTAAAGCTATTCACAGCTCCCAGTTCAACTCCTCAGTGCTAACCTGTGCTCAGTCCCATCACACATAATCAAGAGATACACAAGCATCCAAAGGCAGGCGTTGGCATTAATTAGGAATCTTGAGCCATCCAAGAATGTGTTTGAAAAGCTACACTGGAAGGCACAAACCACTCTGCAGACTCTTGTGATGAGTTAGATATATGCTTTTCATAAAATGAAAGCAGCTTATAGGAGAAGGAAAAAACTAACATCTACCTTGAATTTTGAATACTAAAGAGAACACAGTTGAAAATGTGTCCGTGTGACACAATTAGGTGAGCATGACGATGAAAGCGTAATAAATATTCTCGTGTTGCGAGAGTACCAAATAAGGAGAATGCTGAACTGTTACTTAAAAATTGAGACTGAATTATTAGGCAAGGTCCTACAGTAAGAAATTCTAGAAGGAAGGAGGTAAAAAGGAATCCAAGAAAGGTAGTTTCTAAAAGACAACATTATATGACACAATGACAAACCATCATGATGTGGAAGAATGATAGGAAACAGGGTAAGGTCCTGATATGGCTTCATCAAGAGTTCTTTTATGTCTTTAATGATCTGAAAACCAAAAAGCAATAGGAAATATGGAAACAGATACAAACTAACATGAAGCAAAAATAACCACCACAAGCATGCATGAACACAAATCAATGGCTAACACAAAAATGAGTTTTAACTAAAAGGGCCATAGACACCAACATGTTAAAAGGTTTGGTAACCACATATCAAGTTAACAGAGCAAGATAAGAGAATGCACATCTATTATTCAAAGAAGACAACAAGCTAATGATACAGAGGGCCGCAACATTCACAACTAATCTAAACTACTTTACTACAACTTTCATGTATACAAAAGATTACTGAGACCAACTGATGCAGTCAATGTTCAAGAACGGAACGTAAAAATACAGGATCTGAATAGAGAAAGACCAAAGGCTTATTTTGCTTATTTAGTTTATTCCAGTCAAATAGATGTGGTAAGCTTTATCTTGTGAAGTCATCAGTGTGGGATATGAGCACAAGTCCCTCCTCTTGCCAAAGGGCTTCGCTCACAGTGGCCATTAAGACAAGAACATCAGGCTAAGTGGAATGCAGGTGCATGCATGTGTAATACATGAAACTCTCAAGGACATTTGCCCAAAACAATCACCTGAAGAAGCAAAGCGACATTGCCCAGGCTAAACAGTAAACAGAGAATTTCAAAGAGACATTTTTGACAAAGAATATCTCAGCCTCAGAAGTACAAAAGCATTAGGAAAATTTCTGATGAATCAAGGAGATATCTTGGAGCAAAAATCTGGTTTGATGTTGCCAGAAGTTGCCCCACCAGTACCATGACCTACGTCTTGGCCAAGACAGAACATCCCTCATAGACACTGAGTAGCCTGCATCCAGCTAAGGGACTGTCGGTGCAGTGCGCAGTGCCAGGGAGCAGTTATCTCCTCCCTGCCAGCTGCAGGCACATGAATTTGTGATATGCTTTTCTAATGGGCATGTGAATTAGCGGGTTCACACTGAGCTGGAGCACACACATCTCCCACAGGGGGCCCACACTTCTCAGAGGAGCTGTGGGTTGGTATCCCACATGTCCTTGGGGAGGAGGTGCAGTTTGCATGTAACTGTGTGTGTATATGTGTGTTTTTTAAACTGCTTGGGATTAGTTACAGAAGAGTGTTTAGAAATGTTTATTAAACCAGAGCACTAAACACATATAAAATGTTATCTGTTCTAGTACTGCTATTAATTCTAAATGTATATTTCACTGACTGTGGCTAATTGTGTCTCATTAATAAACTGATACGCGGCTTCAATCTTAATTTGGTTTAAACTACTCTAAGCAAATTGTCCCCTGAAAAGCACTCAGGAGCCAACAAAACTAATTAATTTACTAACCAAATTTCAGCTGTATCAATGCAAGTCAGGTAATACATACTACCAAATAAATCATCAGGCTTCAGTTTTAAAGAGTAAAAAGTAAACTTAAACTCTTCCATGGATTTGGCAATAATAAATTGTGTTCAAATGTTTCATTTGATGTTCCTAAAAACAAACCAAAGGAATATCATCATCACAACAGGCTAAGAAAAATCTATTCAAATAGGGTGATTCAGGCTATCTTATCCATAGTTTGCCCTAGAAGTGGGAAGATGCATCAGCTGTTCAACAAGGTACTGCCTTTGGTCTGGTTCTACACTTTCATTACTAACTTGGGTGGTAGAACGAGAAGTGTATTTTTCCACCTTGTCTTCCCTTCCTTTTTTGGGGTGGAAAGTGGGATGGACGAAATAGGCAATGTTTTCTTAGGAGACAGAGCACTAGAATCCAAAATGATCTTGACAGACTTGGAAGGATGTTCTGAAATCAACAAGATGAAGTCCAAAGCATAGAACATCTAATAAGGAAAGTGGAAGATAAAACAGTACCATTTCTGTAACATTACTGAAAAAGTGCAGCTGAGTATGAATATGAATCAACAGTATGAAACACTGAGTATGGGCTGAGCATGGATCAACAGTAGATTGCTGCTGCAAAATGACAGGTAGAACATTCTTTCCAATACATCACAGTATTACCTAAAGAAAATACAGGTAATTAATCCACTCAAATTATCCTGTAACAAGCCTGGGAAAGACCTTGTAGGTCTTAGCAGAAGTACTAGATCTACATTAAAAGGGCAGGAAGTTTGGAAAGATGTCAGAATCAAGCAACAGGAACCACAGAAGCTTTGCAAACATGACCAAAGACAAATGGGATTAGATGGTTTCTTTGGAAAAGAGAATGAACAGGTTGAGGGGCAACATAACAGCTTTCCCAGTCAGGCAACGTTATCATGATAGATATTAATGATATATGCTACTATGTGCATATCTATTTTAACTTGCATGTTTGTAACAGAAACACCTCTGAATTGCTGTATTTTATGATCTACATGTAGCTCCATTAATTGTGTTTTTTAGCAAGGAGCTGGTTTTTACACACAATCAGGGTTTAAGTCATGTAATTCCAAAGGTTCAGTTTATCTTTAGAGATTATCAGAAAAGAACAGAACAAATGCTGATGTATTTCATGTGAGACAAATGGCCAGATTTTAGGTACTCCTATAAATGGTAAATGAGTGAGGTATTAAAAGTGGATGTTTAAAGTAATACATGAGCTCGTCCTCTACTCAAACTGTTGTAGCACTGCAACTAACTAGTAATATAATAAATATTCTCTACCACTATTTATGGAACTCATATGCAATCAATTAAAACAATCTTTTACTTGCAACAAAGCTTTCAGAAAACATCCACCTTTCTCCCTTTCACTGTAGCAGAGTCGATTTAAATTTTCCTCAAATATTTAGACTGTCCTCAAAGATTCTTCTACTATTGTTTAAAAAAATATTTATTAAAGGAGATGCTTGAATTTTTCTTCACATCCTCCTTTACTGTCACTCTGAGTAACTGATTTGCATTTTCTTTCTTTCAATTCTTAACAGAAATGTTACATTTCTTTGTTAATAGAGTTTTTGTTTAGAATCATTTCATTTAGGAGATTTGAAAGTCTGTTGAAATGCAACCTTTTCCCATTAAGTTTTGGTCCTGACAAACTTCTATTCTTCAACTAAATTAAAACAGCTAAATACCTTATTTGCTTTATTGAATGATACATTTCAATACCCACAAGCATGCGATTCTTCCTTGTTGACTGTCCTAGCAATAGATCCTACTGACTTGAAACAACCAGAATAACTATATAAAATTCAATTTGTTTTTAATTGGGTACGCAAAGTATTTAGGGATTAAATTATTTAAGAAAGAGAATACACTATGAAGAAATTTCATGGAAGAAACATCCTGCTGCCAGCTATCCTAGAATAAGGGTAAGATCCTCCGAGGGATCCAAAGATAGGGATCTCAGTTAAACTTGCACCTATTGTCAGAAGATCAACCCCACAGACTGGAAGAAGGGAACAACACACATGTGCTACTCAAGAACACTTTGACTTTCTGGTTAACACAAAGAAGCAGAATGCTGTAGTTCACTGGGCACTATACCTGTCTCCCAGACAAGGAAAAAGTGCATCTGAGCGATACTCATTTGCAATTTTGGTTGACAGCACATTGTAGGTTTTGATGTGCCATGCACACATAATGGAAGGAGAAGAGATAGTTCTCTCACGGAATGTATGGAAGTTCCCATATCACCGTATGGCCAAAAATAACTCAGCTTTCACAGGCTGAGATGTACATTTTGCCTGCTGCTCTCAGCAACGTGCACTGGGGTTTGAAGGACAAGAGAGGAGAAAAATACATCTCCACAGACTAACAGTTGGTTTTAGGCTCCCTATGGCCAGCGAAGAAAAACAGTTTCTATCATAGCCTGACAGTTACACTAAGAGAGAAGTCCTAAATTCAGAGGCTTTACTTCAAGTATTAAAATGTCCTGTGCAGTTCCTAAACAACTGATGTTTTGTGGCATTTAGCTTTAAATGTTACATGATCTTCAAAGAAAAGTTTTCCTTTAAGAAATAAATACCTTTTAAGCCAAAGAGCTGTTTGGATATTCCAGTTATCAAGAAACATCTTGAAACTTGTGGAAAACTGTAAAGTAAAGCAAATCAATTATTTCTGTAATTGTAAAGTGTTATAAAGTGTTTAAACATTACAAATCCTCCACTCCTCCCCTCCAACTTTCAGACCAGTTGAATAAGTTATTTACTTAACTGCTTATAACTACAAAATATTTCGGAAGGCAACTCACAAATAGAACATGCTCAACACAGACTCTATTTTTCATCCTTTCCTAAGGGCAAGAACATGCCATTTCTGACTTAGAACATATTCACTATCTTAAGGATCAAAATGCACAAGAAAAGTTACTGAAATTACAAGCAATTAACCTACGCAGGCATATGGGTTTTTTTGAAAGAGCCAGAAACAAACCTCTATTTGCTGGATTCTCAGATTTGATATTAGATCCCAACGTGTAACTCCATTTTTATCATAGCCTCTAAAACCAAACCCTGCTGCATTATTAATTGCATCTGCTGCAATGAAACAAGAAGAAACAAATTAATTATAAACTGCCTATGTTACAAATTGTGCATCACACAATATGCAGCTTGTTCAAAACATTTATCACATTTTACCGTGGTTTAGGAGTGGTATTCTCCAATTTAGCGTTTCCTCTGAAACCCCCCAGACCTCATGCTGCTCACTCACTCCCTCACCCCCTCCCTCTGTGGTGGGATGGAGGGAATTGGAGGCACAAATTGTAAAGATCACATGTTGAGATAATAACAATTTACTAAGAAACAGCAATGAAGTAAGAAAATGAACAGTAACATGAGGCCTGGCATGCTGGAGGGTCATTGCAAGCTGCATCAGGAACTCAAGAGAGGTGTACCTGGAGCAGTCCATGGGAGGCACAGCAGACAGTGACAGTATCATTCAGCAAACAGTGTTATACAATTGAACATTACTCACTGGTCTCACCCAAAAATCAAATCCTCTTGAGGTACACACTATGCTACCCCAACCTTCTGCATTACCCACCAAGTGCACCCAGGTCCTTGAGCAAAAGCAATCCCACAGATGGGTTTGCCTTTGCCTGAGGCAGGACTAATCCAGACCATCTTCCTTAGCATATTCCTCAGATGCACCACAGGGACTTTAACCCCTTCTATGGTACATACAGGTTTTGATTGGGCAGGGCCAGTGGAAACACCAGTGTTAACTAACCAGGTGGCCTTTGCTAAATGTAGATCCCAATGTCTGAAGGTTCCACCACCCATTGCCTCCAATATGGTTTCTAACAATCCATTGTACTGCTCAATTTTCCCAGAGCCAAGTGCATGGTAGGGAATATGATACACCCACTCAGTACCGTGCTCTCTGACCCAGGTGCCTATGAAGCTATTTCAAATATGAGTCCTGTTGTCTGAATCAATTCTTTCTGGGGTGCCATGTTGCCACAGAACTTGCTTTCTGAGGCCCAAGATGGTGTTCCAGGTGGCATGAAGCACACGGTACATCTCCAGTCATCCAGTGGTTGATTCTACCATCGTGAGCATATAGCACTTGCCTTGGTGAGTTTGTGGAAGTGTGATGTAATCAATCTGCCAGGTCTCTCCATATTTATATTTTGCCCACTGTCCACCATACCACAGAGGCTTTACCCACTTGGCCTGCTTGATTGCAGCACACATCTCACAGTTATGGATAACCCGAGAGATAGTGTCCATGGTTAAGTCCACCCCTCAATCATGAGTGCATCTGTATGTTCCATCTCTGCCCTGATGACCTGAGGCACCCTGGGCCCACCAGGCCATAAACAGTTCACTCTTATGCTGCCAGTCCAGATCCACCTGAGACACTTATCTTGGCAGCTTGATCCACCTCTCCATTGCTGTGATGTTCTTGAATAGCTCTTGGGTACATGTGTGTCTACATGGCCTACATTTACAACCAGCTTCTCTACCCAGGCAGCGATGTCCTGCCACAACTCATCAGCCCAGATGGGTTTACCTCTGCACTGCCAACTGGACTTTTTCTGTCATTCTAGCCACCTCCACAGAGCATTTGCTACCATCCATGAATCAGTGTAGAGGTAGAGCCCTGCCCATTTCTTGCAATCAGCAAAATCTAAAGCCAGATGGACAGCTCTCAGCTCTGTAACCTGACTTGATCCACCTTGTCCCTCAATAGCTTCTGGGACTTGCTGTGTAGGACTCCATAAGGCAGCTTTCCATTTTAGATGCAACCTTACAACAGGACAAGAACCATAAGTGAAGAGAGCATATAATCTTTCATTCTCTGGCAAATGATTATATTGTGGGACCTCCTCACCATGTGTCACCTCCTCCTCTGATGATGATAGTCCAAAAATTTCACCTTCAGGCCAGTTTGTGATGACTTCCAAGATCCCCGGGTGATTAGGGTTTCCTATCCAAGCTCACCATGTGATCAGTACAATCCACTTACTCCATGTAGCATCAG